ACACACACACACACACACGTGGAGAAGAACGAGCTGACGAAGAGTTTCTCACGTGGTGACATCATCAGCGTCTCAGAAACACGAGGTCACTTCCTGCAGTGCGACGCCTCTGGTCGTCCCCTCCGAGCTCAGCTGACTCCATCTCCACACGTTCCAGGTAAATGAACAGTCTCCGATAATAAATCCAGAAAATGAACCCGACTGTAATCTGCGTTCGACAGACGTGAATGTTACCGAGATAGAAACTGAGCTCTCAACTGAAGCTCAGACACAAAGTCGAGTCCTCCAGGAGGAGACGTCCAGATGTGTGAGGGACACATCTGACGTCAGTTTGTCCTCAATTCAAATAAAGTTCAAATTAAAGAGATTCTCAGAATGGATTCATGTTTTGTTCATTGTTGATTGTAAATGTGATGAATCAGTGTCGATGGATTCTCTGGTTCAAAGTTAATTATGTTTCATGAACTTTTTACTGAATAACTCGTTAAAACGATCAAGCTGAAGATTTTTCCTTTAGATTAAGAATTTTAATAAAATGATTAAAAAAGTGAAAACTAATTAAAAATGTATTAAAAATTAAAACTGTTCAAACAGCAGAAGTAAAAACTCTGGTTCCTTCAGACGGAGAGAAAATCACAGGTCACCTGATTAAAGCTGCGATTCACTGACGTCCGTCTTCACATCGTCAGGATTTCAGGAGGAGACAGTTCTGGGTGGCTCACGTCCTTGGAGAGAAAGTTCTCGGCCAAAGAAAAGAGTCTGAACACACTGAAAACTTTCAGATCTCTGGTGATGAACTAATATTCAAATGAAGGAGGAACCATCTTGGAAAAGATCCAGTCTGTCAGAGAACGTCCCTCCCTCCGTCGATGCCTCGCTTCAGCTCTTTTCTGCGACGCCCCGGGATCGATGGGAGTCAGAAGGGCGACGATTAACATTCGAGGTCTCGACCCGAACGTCAGCCGCAATTTGTTGTCTCTGTCTTGTTCAAGGACGATTTGACAAGTGGACAATTCTGCAAATATTGAAGCAGACGATCGACGTCTTCAGCCACAGATTCATCACAAGACGATAATTAGAGGCGACGGACTCGATGAAGTCTGTGACATCATCTGAACCTCTGACGTGAAACATGAAGTGTTTCCTCGTGAGATCCGAAGTTTCTGTCTGTTCAGAGCTTTCTGACAGTTCCGTCACTTTTCTGATGAGAAAACGAAGCGAGGACCAAAGAAATTCTGTCTCATGTGGAGACGAACTTCCTGAGCCGCCTTCTAAAGAACAAGATGGCGTCGCCCGGATCTCAAGGAGAAGGCGGAGACGCGTCGGCCATCTTTATTCACGTCACAGTTGAGGGGCAGCGTCGACCACGAGGCCGAAATGAAACGGCCGGTCTGCCCCCTGCTGGTCATTACAGAGAACGCAGCTTCGAGACAGTTGATATTTTCTGTAATCGTGGACAGACACTTGAACGCAGCAGGGATTTCTAAATGTAGGAGGATTCCAGACCTCCGTCTATTCTCTCCATCACAGCGGAGAGTCTTGAGTTTCTCACTGGTTCTGACACCGAACTTTACTGACGACACGTTTGAGTCTGAACGCTGCTGCAGATGAAGCGACCTCTCCTCCTCCAGGAGCTGGAACGATTACAGCTCCAGTTTCTCCTCATGGAAAAGATTCAAGGTTCATTTCCGCCAAACGGGTTCTGATTCACCGTCTGAATTAAGTCTCTGAATTTACTACGAACTTTATCTTCCCGCTCCTTCAGCTTTCAGGCACTTTCATTTGTATTTACCGCCCGGTCTCTCCTCCATCTATTTTTAGTGCGACGCTCATTTGAATTCAACGCTCGCTCTGTTTTTAAAGACGTTAGAATGTCGACGTTGGATTGTTTGTCTGGAAACTGCTTCCTGCTGCAGCTCCGCTCCATGAGCTTTCATCTGCGAGGGTTCGAATCATCAGGAAACTTCACAGAGTCACAGCCGACGAGGGAGAAGTGACCGATGATGTCACACACACACTCACAGTAAAATCCTTCTGGACCACATGATGGCGCTGGTCCGTTGCTGTTTGCTGCTCTGGGCCATAAGTAACCATAGCAACAGCACATGTCAACCAAAGCTGGTCCACATTTGTTTTGTAGAGATCTGGAGGCAACAGAAGAAGATGAGCTGAAGTTAAAGCAAATGATTTTCTGTCTCAGAAAAGTTTGAGCAGTTTAAATTATTCAGAGTCAAGATAATATTGAGCACATGTCGACCTGATGGAGCTTTATTCTGCAATGTAGTGAAACATCTGTAATAAACAGCTGCAGGTTGTGTTGCTCTGGACTGAAGCTACACTCTGTTTATCCTCAGAGATACATACACACACATATATACACATATATATATGTGTATATTATTATATATTTATATGTGTATATCACAGAAATGAGTTTTCTTCTTCTGAACGTTTGGTCTCAGAGCTGGAAATCAAACTGATCCACTGACGACCTGAAACAGAAGCGATCAGGATCGATTATCAGCTTCTTCCTCAGAAGATCAAACTCCTCGTTCCTGAAGCTTCTCAGGATGAATGTTTTTTATTTCATTCAAGAAATGAGAGGAAATAAAATCATCCTCCATTTTCATCATCTCCTGCAGATTTTCACAACGAACTGAAAAACTCATGAGACTCTGAATTTAAAAACACAGAATCCAGCATCACAGGTGAAAGTCGTCGCTCGGGGGCCGGTCTGTTCGACTGGCTCTCGTCTGAACAACAACCTGGACTCGTTCACAGAAGCTGAATATTTGATGTTTCATGTTCGGCCTCTTCGCTGCCGGTGGTTCCTGGCAGCTGACGACAGGTTCAGTCTTTCATGACCAGGATGAACCGAATGATTCCAGCAGGGAGGAGGTGGAGGAGGAGGAGGTGGAGGAGGAGGAGGAGGAGGAGGAGGTGGAGGAGGAGGAGGAGGAGGAGGACAAACCTTCATGTCCCCCAGGAAAACATCAGTGGATGTAAACCAATGACTTCCTGTGAGTCTCTGCTGCTGAAACCTGTTAAAACTAATAAATCACTTGAGCTCAGGTGAACTTGAGTCGTGGGATCGTTTCCTGCAGGTCATCGTCCTCCAGCTTCATTTACCGCTGCTCTCAAACCAGTCCATCACATTTTTACACACACATGGATGATATGACAGCCAAAGTATCGCCCCCTGGTGGCTGTCTGCAGTATAGCTCATAAACCCTCCTCCTCCATGTTAGCAGATGGGACATCTGACTGAAAAATCAAAGTAGGTTTCTGTCAACAACACGTGACACAGATCCGTCGATTAAAGAAAGTCCGTCGATAAAAACCCGTTCGACTGAAACAATCAGGAAAAGACGAACCTGAGGACTCGTCTCCACGGCGACACTGAAGAACCTGGATGTAAAACCCGGCTCGTGACAGAGGAGCCGCCAGAGCAGCTCGCATCAGACTCCTCACAGACGACATCAAGTGGTGAAGCATGTATGTGAGTGTACTGTGTTTATTGTACAGTGTGTATTGCATTGTGTGTACTGTGTGTATTCTATTTCACTCTGCACATTGAACTCAGTAATAAAATGATCCTAAAGAATAATGAGGTTTTCTTCTGCTTCACTACAAACACACTGAGAAATAAAGTGAGATTATTTATCACGTACAACAGTTTGAAGTCAGAATAAATAAAAAGCAGAATAAAGTGATCATTTAAACCCAGATTCTTAAATAAAGACACTAAAGTTTATTCACTTTTATTCCTTCATACTTTACTTTACACATTTTAACTAAATGAATTTTCCGGAGGAGGAAGAAGAAAGTGAATGAAAACGTTCTGCAGCCAAAGAAGAAAATGAGAATTTGACTCATTTAGAAAATTGCAGCTTCTGGCAGAATGAATCTAAACGACTCGTTGGTTCATTAAAAGTGAGGAGAATCATTTTCTCTCCGGTTTCAGGAAACATCTAAACAACTAAAGCTTCTCTCTGACGTCCTGGTGTCGACAGGTCACAGCAAACACTGAGGTCAGAGGTCAGAGGTCGTCAGTCTCATTCTGCAAGCTAACAGAGAAACTAGGGGGCGCTGTAGACACCACATCCTTCCACCAGCTTTCTGACCCAGAATGCTCAGCAGCTCTCAGGTGCAGACTCTAACAGTGTTGAGTTCAGAACACGTCCTGCAGAGAGACTGTCACAGTGCATCATGGGAGATGAGAGCGTACAGTGACACAACACACACTAATCCCAGTGTGTGTGTGTGTGTGTGTGTGTGTGTGTGTGTGTGTGTGTGTGTTTCAATCTTCAGTCTCCATCAGTGGACTCATAAAAGTGGAGGCTGTAAAATGTTGTGAGAGATTTAAGAGCTGATGATGAGTTTTACTGCCGCCATCTTTGTTTTTGTGCGATGCTGCAATACACACAGACACACACGAAGACCGAAGCTCCGCCTCCTGGTCTGAACTCTGGAGCAGTCGTCGATAAAAACGTGACATGAAATATATTATTTATACATTTAACAACATACATGACGTGTTGTGAACACACCTAAAACTGAGTTAAAGGATTTTAAGAATCTATTTAAGAGAAATTATCACTTTTCTTGTTCCGTAAAATCCGTCTCCTTTAAAAAGCCTGACAACGGATCCAGGGTCAGAGGTCAGAGGTCAGAAACACACACACACAAGTTTAAATAAGATGTGGATTGTTTTTATTTCAGCCAATGACAGAAGAGAACCATCAACATGAACCAATGAGCTACAAGCAGAGGCGTGTCGGCCAATCGTAAAAGAGCACACAGACGTCGTCACACTCGAACCAATGAAACAGCTCCGATGCAGGTTTGAACCAACGAGAGCCGGGTTCAAAGGTCAAAGACTGAACAACGAAATATTGGTTTTTTTCGATGACTTATTTGAATAAATGTGTCGTTCAGGACGTTCAACACTTTGAACTCGAGGCCGAACTTCCTGATGACAAACATGTGACATGAACGCAGCTTTACTCCGACTTTAAAAGTAAATATACACAAATAAAAGTAGTTTCAGAGTCGAACTGATCGAAGCTCTGTTTCATTAAAGTGCATTTTCAGAGCGAGACGCTTCACAAGCTCAAGATTCATTAACATCAATAACACGAGTTTATTCATCGCAGCAGTTCGGACGGTTCCTCACATAAATAAACTTTGTGCGGTGGCGAGTTTGAAAACGCCGGCGACTTATTGCACGAAAATTTAAATTTGCAAAAAACCAGCAGGTGATACAGGAAATGGCAGGATGTCCGTCAAAATAAAATACCTGTCCTTCAGCCTTTAAATATAAAGGTGAAGGATAAACTGTACAGACGTGAAGAGTGAGGACAACATTGTGATCTAATAAATAAGTTGAGACAGTGATTGAAATATCATCGACACTGAAGCAGCTGATGGTGAAAACATCCACGATTATTCACCTGGTTTCATTTTCCACTTGAAGAACAAACAGGTTATTTCATTCATATCTGGGTTTTAAACCTTCTTTATATTCGGGGAATCACCAGGATTTAGACGTTTCTAACTTTGTTAACTTTTCTACAGACGTCAGTAAAATTCAACACTTCCTGCAGATCCTTCACATTAAAAGTCTTCAGACAGCTCTATCTTCGCAGAAAAGACTTTTAATGTGAAATATCTTCAGGAAGTCGTAGGATGAAGTTTTGCGACTGTGACTAATTAACAAATGAAAACAAAGAATTTATAATTGTCACTGAAAAATTGGTGTTTATCCGACTGTTGTTGTCATGACGCCGAGCGAAGACAGAGACATTTAAGGTGGAAATTATCTGCTGCTGAATTTGATTAAAACATTTTTAGAAAAGTAAAAACTACAAGACGCTTGATTCTGATTGGACGACGAGCAGCCGGAGGAAGATCATCGCTTTGTTTCTCTTCATGAACGAATCCGTCGCTAACACGATTTAAACCGACGCTCGGCCGTTAGTTTGTTCTGAGGTGAAAGTGAAGCAGGTGAACACACACACACACGAACACACACACACACACACACACACACACACACACACACACACACACANACACACACACACACACACACACACACACACACACACACACACACACACACACTAAATCCCAACACTGCTGCGGTTGCCATGGCTGTCCAACTACATCACCATGGCAACTGGGTATATCTACAACACTGGAGTGGTACCTGCTGCTCTCAGGTGTGTGTGTGTGTGTGTGTGTTATTAAAAGGATGAACGAGGGCGACGCCTCCATCGTTACAGACTGAGACGATGTTGTTTACATGTTGATATTTGAGTTCATCAGTGTCACGGCGGTCAGGTTCTTCATCATCATCATCATCATCAGTTGGGTGAACCTCCTCCATCTATAACTATCTCAGTTATTTGCATAAATATTCATACGACAGCGTCTCTGCTCTGGCTCAGAGGAACTCGGGCAGGACGAGTTGAGCCTCTGTTGCATAGTCTCTTGTATATATTGTTTATAATATCGAAGCAAGCGGAGCTGGGGGGGGGGGGGGGGGGGGGGGGGGGTCAGACGATCACGTGTCATCAGTCGGAGTGTCTGATTGGTCGATGGAGAGAAAGTCTGTCTCTTGTTTCTTGGTCGTCCGTGCATCGATATCGTCTCGTTACGATGAGTCGTTCAAACTGAGGAGAATTTCTCAACAAACAGGAAACGTTCAGGAGAGAACATGTGAACCAAACATGAAGCGAGGATCGAACATGTGACACGACAGAGTCACGTGAAAATAAAGTCAGAGATTTATTCTTCTGACGTCAGATGATGAGTCGGTCTGAAACAAACAAGCCAGTGTTGGTGTCGGAGTTCGTCCAGGAGGAGGAGCCATGTTTGAGGGTGTCAGTTCCTAACACGCAGCGAGCGATAATAAATATAACACTTAACATACAATCACTGAATAACTTAACATTGTGACTGAGCCCAGAACTTTCTCTAAATCTAATTTTAATTTGTCGGTGTGATGAGGTTGTTGTTAGCAGATGTTTACTCACTTTAAAGCTACACGACATTTTGTTAGCAGCCGTCAACAAACTTTATCTACTCACCATGTTAGCATGCTAACTCCCTCGTCAGCATGCTAACTTCAGTGAGGTCACTGCAGCATCGTGAGAACTGATTTTATTGGTCGATATATTTACGTGTCACAGATCCAATTGAATCTGATATATGACGTCTGGTAAGTGCCGATGTTAAAACCTTTTTTACAAGTTCAAAAGCAGGAAAGGGAGTTTGGGTAATTTATAAGATATGTAAACATCTTTTCTTTTGGCCGATATCTCAAACACAACAATGGCTGAAACTAGTCCAACACCACCACCTGCTGGTGGGAGGAAGAGTCACATGAAGCAGCTTTAAACTGAAATCAGTGTTTTCCTGTTTAACCTTTAAATTAAAATCTTTATTCTTTATCTCTTTGATATCTTCTATGAAAAATACAATAAATAAATAAAAATATTTGATAAATAGATTTTTCATTCCATCAGAATCGACTCGAGCGGAGCGGCTCGGGGGGGAAGCGTGTGGTTGGTGGACTCACGTCGCTGCGCGTTAGGAAGCTGCTGCCAGACGAGCGCTCTCAGTGGCTCTTTGGTTTCGGGAGACGTGACGAGCCGAAGGTAAAGTCCAGCGTTCTGAGCTTCACCCCAGAAGAGGCGTGGCTCTCTGGGTCACAAGGCGTCGGCGGCTGCCTGGACGCCCTGGTCATTGAGGGGGGGGTCGCGCTGCAGGTCTGAGACAGGAAGAGGCGGAGTTTCGATGGCTGAGGGAGCTTCAGTGATCTGCTGTGGGCACCGCGGGGCTCTTTCACTGAACTTTTCCCATCATCCTCTCTTTCCCCGGTCGCGGAGTCAGTTGCGTCAGTGTCAGGAGGCGTCTCAGAGCAGGGGCGAGCTGGGGGCGGAGCTTGGGCAGGCGGTGGCGTGGAGAATCGGTCCGTCAGTGGTTCCTGGTCGTCCTGGCTGGAGGAGTGAAGTATCTGTGACTGAAACACAGAAACAGAAGCTGTGAACCTTCGATCATGTCACATGTGAACAGAACCACATGAACACATCCGTGTTATTTACACATCCGTGTTATTTACACATCCGTGTTATTTCCACAGTTAAGCCACAGATTCAATGATGAACGGCAACAAACAGAAACGCAGCTGAAAATACTACTACTATATAAACTATACTGCAATAATACTCGACGGCTGTGACCTGTTTTTATTCACTTCTATCAAAACACAGAAGAAGAAACATCTTCACTTATGGACGAGTTTAGAGCTGAGCTGTGAGAGGACGACTGTGAATAAAGATTCAACAAGACTGAAGGAAACAGAGGATGAGAGCAGATGTAGTGAAACGTGTTTGAACAGTTTGATTTCAGATGTTCATCATCGGGGATCAACACATGAAACACATCAGCTTCACAACCAGGAGCTCATCAATTTACTTTAAATGTTGTAAATGTTCAAGTCAATTCAGACTCTCGGGGAAAAAGGATCAATGTGTGCAGACCTGCTGAAAAACTATCGACAACGTCCTCAGACGAAGGAAAACCTGAACCCTCGACGATTCTCTTTCATAAAAACCAACAACTTCACAACCTTCCCTCTTCACTCAGTAATCAAATAATAATTCTTCACTTTTCAAAAACTTTGAATGTTCACCTATTACAAAAAAAACCCCGGACATCATCACTTTTCATGAGCTTCACTTTCTGTTTGTGTTGTTTTATAAAACTTCTTCACTACATGAAAATATTACTTGTAAGTTTATTTCAATTATCTTTTTTGTTCCCGTTTTATAAAACGCTTATCACTTTTGAAAAGGTTTTCTCCTTTTTCAAAGTCCTTGCTTTCCAAAAAAATCCACATTTTTTAATTTCACTCTGAAAATCTATTTAACAATGTCCTTACTTTTCTTTCTGATTTTCAAAATGTGCTCAGTCAAAAGCCTCATTTTCCAGGTTTTTCAAAGGTTTTCTCAATTTTCAAAATGTCGTCTTGCCTCATTCATTTATCTCTTCCTATTTTCTTACATTGGTTCTTAAGAAGTTGCTGAATGAGGCAAAATGTCCATTAGTTCACTTTTAATTTTTAAAAATGTTCACACACTTTAAATCTTCACGAAGGTCACTCATCTTATTACCTACATGAGTTAATATCCAGAGTACTAACAGATATGTGAGGTTTCACTTTGTATAAATTATTATAACATAAGAAAAGTACATTTTAATTTTTTCATTAATTCACTGGCTCAGACATGAAGCAACAATGACACCAGGTGGTCATCAGAGGCACTGCAGCCTGTCTGACTCTCAAAATGTGTCAGTGTCCATCCTTCATAAATAATGGATGACAGGATGGATGGATTAAAGATGGAGGAGTGAAGGGCGGCAGAGGAGAGAGACGAGATGCAGAAGAAGAAGAGTGTGGGACCACATGCTGCTGCTCAAGGAGGATTCACCTTGTGTCGGACGAGGATTCACTGACTGCCAAGTTTTTTCACTGTTCTGCTTCCTTGACAACGATTTACTGGACGTCCCCACAGTAACACACACACACACACACACGGTAACACACAGACAAACACACACAGTAACGCACACACCTCTTTGGCAGACATAGTGCTGATCCATCCAAACCTACTCTCTCCTCTCCTGCCCCCGGAGGCTCGTTAGATGAATGTCACTTCAGGCTGCATCATCAATTAACTCATTTCTTCAAATTAAAATGATAATGGTGGAGAACTACGGTGATGTGGTCGTTTGGAGCCGACAAGAGAAGAAGCGTCATCTCACGGTGCAGTGAACATCTTCCTCCTCTTTAGTCTTTTTATAAAAACATTGAAGATGAATTTGTATCTGACAAATAAAACTATTAATAAAACGAAAACTGAAGTTCAGAAAGTTCCTACATTAAAATCTGAAACTCTGAACATTGATTAAATGGATGAAAGTTGAAACCAAATGTGTGTTTTCTCTTTTAGAGCCAAAAAACACACAGAGACACGATGTGAAGCTGCGACACCCTCTAGTGGTCGAAAATAAACTACTACACCTTCAAGGTTTACGAGAACTGAGTTTGCTTTGTCTGGTGGTTTGACAGGATGAGGAGGAAGAGGAAGAGAAGATGGAGGAAGATAAAAGAGTCTCTACTGTACCAGGCTGTGTCACTGAAGTAAAGCACTAGTTTTTCCACTTCTTTGTCGAGGGCAGAGACGAGGAAGCAGAGGACAGAGGGAGGAAGGTTAGAGGAGGAAACACACCTGAAGAAAAACAAAACTCTCAAAGATACTTAGACAAGTGTCCTCAGTACAGATCAAGGATTTAACATGAAAGGGGGAGGAAGGATAGAAGGAAGACAGGATGGGTTCATAGAAGGAAAAGGATGAAAAACTGGAAACAGACCTGCTAATTCAAATGTTTAAAAAAAAAAAAAAATTTAAAAAAGAGAAATCCAAGAAGAGGAGGAAAGAAGAGAAACGTGCTGATTCCAGACAAAATCAATGAGCTGGAGTGAACAGACACAAACTGAGCAGCAGATGAAAGTGAAGTCGCTTCACATGAATAAGTTAAATCACAGAACTTCTGATTCACTGCAGTCGAGTTTCAGCTGAGAATGAATTCGTCGTTTCAGGAGCCAAACTTCATTTAACGTCACAACCTCTGACCTCCTCGCTGTCAATGTTCAAGTTCTACAAACAGAAGCATCTTACGACTCGTTCACACCTGGTTTGTTTCAGACTCTCAGTTCAGTCTGAACCTGAACATCAGGTGTGAACGGTTCCTCAGAGCAGAGGAGGAGTTCTGGTTCTGTTGGTTCACAGTGAAAACACTTTGTTGGACAGTTCGTCTGTTTGTTTGCAGTTTTATTACAGCGTGTAAATATCTGTAGCATCATGATTAGTATTCATCCAAACAACAGTAGAAATATCTGAACATATGGAACTTTTTTAAAACCTGTGGTTTTAGTTTATCCTTTAGAAAACCTGATTTTCACTCTGCAGGAGATCAACCAATCATCCACAAAGATGTTTTGATCACGATGAAGAGGAGGGTGAGATGAAGAGTAACAGAGGTGACGGCTTATTCAGGGTCTATGGAGAAGAGGTGGGAGGGGGAGGAGGCAACATGCAACTCACTTTTTCTAGCGAGGTGGGAGGGGATGCCCGGCCTGGGCCTCCCCCTGTAAGGCCTGGAGCGCTGATACTGCCAGGGTGGAGAGAGGAAGGGAACAGGAGGGAAAGCCTGAGGAGCGATAGAGGGAAAGAGAAAGAGAAAGAGAGAGAGAGAGAAGAGGCTGATTCATAAGATCGTGAGAAGAAAAGAGGACGAAGAGCTGACTCATAAAATCTCTTTATGTCTGTTGATACAAAACTTTTATTTTGAAGAATAAAAGCAGAAAAGTTGTTTAATGTTTATTTCCTTAATTCAAGTTCCATTTATTTTGGTTTCATCTGTTTCGTTAATATTCTAAAGCTTACGTTACCCAGAAGCCCTTTCAGTAAACTGGCCTGTGGGTTGTTACGACCAGACGCAGGAAAACTTTACAACCCGAGCACAAGTTGTTTTACAGGAAGAAGAAAGTTACAATTAAAAAGAGAAAGAAAAAGGTTGAAAGATTTAAAAATGAACTTCAACCTCCATCACCGTCATGATGGAAACAAAGCTTTAAGATTTTATTTATTTTATATGTTTGGTTTGTTCATTTTGTTATATATTCAGTTTTTAATCCTGATTGTGTGTGTGTGTGTGTGTGTGTGTGTGTGTGTGTGTGTGTGTGTGTGTGTGTGTGTGTGTGT